AAATAAAATACTGTTGTAGTTCTAGTAATCTTTTTGTGTATTAAAAGTAGCATACTTCTACTACATAAATACTATGAACAGTAGTTCAAATAGTAACCACTTCTACATCCTAAACATCCAGAGAGTTACAAATATAAGCATCAGACTCTTCCACAGTGATGATATCACCATAAGCTTGTCTACAGCGCTGTTCTGCAAAACTATCCTAATAAATATATTAGCAATTTGCTGTATTTAATTTTGGCAGGCAAATTGAGAGACAAATTACCTACCTCTAAACACAGATATAAATAAGCATAAACCATGTAGACGTTTTCCTCCTCCCTAATACTGTATTTCAACTCCTTCTGGAACACACTGAACTTTCTTTTACCACTCAAGCAATACATCCTAAGTTACAGAGGAATATACTCCCTAGAATGTGCTTTTTAATATCCTCCCTATGAAACTTGTTATATGCGGCAAGCACAGATCACTTTCTGACACAATTTGGTGTCCCTGCATTTCTGTTTTTAAAAAGAAACATTGCCCTAACAATCATCTATCTAATATATTTGACTTTCAGGTGTTTTTTTTTTTATTTTAATTCTGTGAATTAGTTGGAAAAAAAATCTCACACAAATATGGCAGAATAAAATATGATAAAAACAAGCAACTCTGAAACTGGCAAAAAAGAGACATAAAAAATAATTAAAAACAAAGCAAGAAGACATTGCTAATCTGCATACAACAATCTGCAATCAGAACTGGTCTCTATCACTGTACCTTCATTTTCCTCTTATTAAACACCTCATATCAGAGAAAGATGGATTACACATAATACCTTTCCTGTCAGTGCTACTGCTTAATTAGTGAAGCTTATGATAAAAATAATTGAGCACTTCAATCTCAACTTAAACAACACAAATATCACTTAATCTTTAGCTCACACTTCCATTTTTGGAAATGTTTATAATTAGTCAGTAATCACAGAATCACAGAATTGTAGGGACTGGGAGGGACCTCTAGAGATCATCGAGTCCAAACCCCCTGCAAAGCAAGCCCCACAGACAAGGTTGCACATGTAGGCATCCAGCGGGTCTTGAAAATCTCCAAAGAAGGAGACTCCACAACCCCTTGGCCAGCCAGACAGTGCTCTGTCACCCTCACTGTGAAGAAGTTCTTACACATATTTGTGTGGAACTTCCTATGCTTCAGTTTGTGGCCATTTCCCCTTGTCCTATTACTGAAAAGAGTCTGGCCTCATCCCTTTGCCTCCCACAAACTAGATATTTATAGAAATTGATCAGATCTCTTCTGAGTCTTCTTTTCCCAAGGCTGAACGGACTCAGGTCTCTCAGCCTTTTCTCATAAGAGAGGTGCTTCAGGCCCTTTATCAACTTCAAGGCACTCCGCTGGAGTCTTTCTTTCTTGTACTGGGGAGCCCAGAGCTGGGCACAGTACTCCAGGTCAGCCCTCACCAGGGCAGAACTCAGGCACACGATTATCTCCCTTGATCTGCTGCTGGTCGCACTCCTTTTAATACACTTCAGGATGCCATTGGCCCTCTTGGCCACTAGGGCACACTGTTGGCTCATGGCCAACCTGTTGTCCACCAGGACAACCAGGTCCTTCTTTGCAGAGCTCCTCTCCAGCAGGTCATCCCCCAACCTGCACTTGTGCATGTAGTTATTCCATCCTAGTTGCAAGACTCTACACTTGCTTTTGTTATTCCTCATCTGGTTCCTCTTCTTCCCAACTCTCTAACCTGTCCAGATCTTGCAGAATGGCAGCAAAGCCTTCTGGTATGTCAGCCATTCCTCACAGCTTTGTATCATCTGCAAACTCGCTGAAGGTGAACACTATCCTCTCATCAAAGTCATTAATGAAGATGTTGAACAAAACTAGACCCAGCACTGACCCCGGGGTACACTACACCACTAGATACGGACCTCCAACTGTACTCAGCACCACTCATCACAACTCTGAGATTGGCCAGTCAGTCAGTTCTCAACCCAGTTCATCATCCATTCATCTACCCCACACTTCCTCATCTTCTTTATAAGGATACTGTGGGAGACAGTATCAAATGCCCTGCTGAAATCAAGGTAGACTATATCCACTGCTCGCCCTCCATCCGCCCCACCAGTGATGACATCATAAAAAGCTACCAAGTTGGTCAAGCATGAACTCCTCCTGATGAAGCCATGCTGACTATTCCTTATAACTTCTTCTCTTCCAACTGTCTGGAGATGGCATCCAGAACAAGATCTTCCATCACCTTTCCAGGGACAGAGGTTAAGCTGGCTGGTCTGTAGCTCCCTGGATCCTCCTTCTTGCCCTTTTTGAACACTGGAGTGACACTGGCTATCCTCCAGTCCTCAGGCACCTCTCCCATTCTCCAAGAACTCTCAAAGATGATAGAGAGCAGTTCAGCAATCACCTCTTCTATCTATATAAATATATCTTCTATCTATTTAAATATATGAAAATTCTAACAAGTACTCACATTATTTGGCACTTATTTCAATGACAGTAGATGGAATACCAAACTTATGTTGAGAAAACATTTGCTCCAAGCCTCGCTTGAATAGCCAAGGGGAAAACACATGATATACTACTTACGCATTGCAGATGCAGTAGATACACCACAGTGACCAAGAATCAGGGAAGGCACTAATAGCAAGTGGGTGGATAAAAACATTTTTTTCTGCAAAGGACAGTATTTAGAACATTCTGCATGCAGCATTTTTTCACCTTGACCCTCAGGGAGAAGGCACTTTTCTCTCTGACGTTTTGTTTTCTTATTTTCAAATGTGTTAGTCTCCATGTTAAAAGCATGAGAGAGACTTACGGAGGTCAAAATATACTATCAATATTTTCAATACATTAACATGAAACAATCAAACCTGCATTATGGGAAATGACTGCCTTTCAATCTGCATTAAATTCCAGAATATTACTGTATTTCATCTTTGACAAAAATATAAGTTGAAAATCATGTTGTAGACATACTAAAGCTCAAGGTTTCCACTCAGTTTTCTGATGTGTCTCTTCTCTGTCCACTAATGGTCCACTCATCTTTTTATTCACTGCACAAGGAATAGGAAGCAGTACATCCCCAAAATTTTACTTTCCTTACCTCACACAAGGTAGAATGACAGTTTGAGAAACTTTCCCAAGAAATCTTTAAATGAAATAATTAAAAACATAAAAACATTGACAGAACAAAGTTCCAAAGTTCCTAACAAGTTTCCAGGAACCACAGGAATATAAGAAGTCACCAAGTACAAAAGGCTTACTACTAGTGGCAATGAAAAATATGCAATCCTGCAAAACATTATACATGGATTGCATTCTTGACTTACATAACCTTTTATTTATATCCACAAGACTGTTCACAACCTAATAATCTGTGTTGTTTAAAAAGACATAGGAAGAAGGCAATTCAGATTCCCACTGGTGTAAGAAGAAATACCTTGTATGTTCTAAGGATGTTTTACAGGTCTGTTTCATGTCCTTTCCCTTCCCCAGATGGCACCACTCTGAAAACTTGGGCCGTTTTCAGAAAAATACATATGCATGGAAATCACCAGAAATTTTTCAGTCTCCTTGAGCAGAATGACCTACCAGGAAACTGATACATTTTCTGAAGTTCGCAGTTCTTTTTGAAGGAAGGAAGAACTTATTTCAGAAAGCGCTGGACAGGGATGTAGCAGTATCACCACGTAACGTAAAAAAGTACTGTTCATCATACTGAAAAGAACTCCCCACATAGAACTGGGAAGCCAGTAATGTGCTAAAACTACAAGCTCTATATTTTATTTTCTAAATTTCTTCCTTCTGACAGAAAATATTGCATGTCATATGATGTTTTCTTGTGTTAGATTTTTTTAATTACTGTTTTGAACAGAAGAAAAAAAATGTTTTACAACATGCTGGTAGAGTTTCCAACAGATCTCTTATAAACAACAATTTTCTCTTTGTCTTGACATTGACATTCAAGATTAGTTCCATTTTTCCCCCTAATTAGCTTTTCCAAACAATTGTATTTTTGAAAGAAACAGGATACTTCCCCTGAGGGCATCAGAAACTTAATCTGTCCAATTTCCTTTCAATGGATATTGAAAACAAAGCAGTGTATTGTAACTCAGTGGGAAATCAAGAATTATGTGACGCAAGAAATTAAAAAAGTACTATTAAAATAAATTTGACATAGAGGGCAATAAAAAAATAGTAATGAAAAATCCTTTAAGCCCCCTTCTTAAGGCTTGACAGAACTGCCTACTCCTATTAAGTTTGTCTGTCTTCTAAAGGATGTGAAGATACTAATTTACACAAAATTGGGGGTTTTTATATTCATAACAGACTGACTGATTAGCATTAAATCTTTTGGAATATCCTAAACAAACGGAGGCATTTCCAATCACTTTATACAGCAATATTGCTTATGACTCAAAAGAATTTTTCTTATACTTTGATCATTTTACAAAAATTCTGTTCTTCACATTGAATTCACATTGTTTCTGATAGCCAATATTAAAAATTCCATAGTGCTAAGCATACAGTTAGAACATTATGATAAACCTAAGGGTATAAATTACTTTTTATACTGAATTTATAATTATAATTATTGTCTTATCAACAAACTTAAATGTTTAGCAGCTTCTGGATTCTGAATAGCAACTCTGAAAGAAAATAGCTGCAGGTCTTTATTTGCATTTTCTAGAGAACTTAATTGAAAATGATAATCTTTGTGGTTCATTGTATACTACCAGTATATCTTACCAGGAAAGATGTGTTTTACTAACACATACTCTCACATACAGCATACAGTGTTTTCTACTATATATCATTTACAGATATGCTGCATGCACACATGAGTACACAGGTGGGTGTACTACATTTATAAATAAAAAATACAGACATTACAGTACTTCTTGCAGGTGACTGCACATCTACATTCCAGCATAGATTTCATCTTCAGCTCTGTCTCTAACAGAGTTCAGAAAGGTACTTACTGATGTGTAGAGGAAACCTTCATTATTTAGGGCTATATACAACCCAGTCTTTACACCCTGGATAGCTACAACTCGAAGTCCCACTGGTATAAGGTTGAATAACGCTGTGAAGAGAAAACAAGACCAGATATGAATATATTATGGTTATTAAAATATTTTAATGAACAACATTAAGAAATACAGCTACTTCTTTTGGTTCTATCTTCTGATTTTGAGATTTAACTAATTCAGAAAGTCTTGTTACTAGTAAAGTTAACCCTTAAAATTAAAGCCCAAGTGTCTATGTATCAGTAATTCCTGCAACACACAGTATTAGGCATAAGAGTTAACTAGCAAATACAAAGCACTGCAGACACAAGTATATCAGACAATCTCAAAATAATCAAAGAGCCCAACATTTTCTTCACCGGTATAAATTGATCATAAGGGCAATACTTGAGAGATATCCTGTAGAACACGTATCTTCTGATTCAGCCAAGTAGGTTTATATTTTCTTAGATATTTTTATTTGTTATGATTGGTTTCAAGGGGCCCATGGTTTCAAATCCAAAAAAAATTATTTGGTTTTGTAAATGATGTATTTTCTACAAGCCTCAGGTAATGGTAGATTCTTGTCCTAATTTAGGAAAGCACTGAAATATGTGCTTGACTCTAAAAGTGCATAAATCCTATTCAGATGAATATAGAATATATTCAAAAGCTCAAGATCTGGAAAAAAAAAAAAACATGATTTAACTAGAAAAACACAGCTAATAGCAGATACCCAAGCAATGATATATACCTCTGCAACAACAAAAGAAGACACAGCTTTGACTAGTTTGAAAAAGATCAGTATGAAGAGAAGGGTACTATTCTCACAACAGCAACAGAAAAAGAAAAGTAAAAATATAAGAAATTTTTACTTCCAATACACACATTTTATATGAAACCCATTGTTAAATAGCAGAAAAACAAGTAATCTGTTCCCCTGAAAACTCATAGGAAGGTATGGGTTGGAAGGGACCTTTAAAGATCGCCTAATTCAAAGATCTCTGTCATAGGTAACTTCCACTAGACCAAGGTGCCCCATCCAACCTAGCTTTGAACTGTTCCAGGGATGGGGCGTCAACAGCTTCTCTGCGCAATAACTTGCAGTGCCTCACCACCTTCATAATAAAGAATTTCTTCTTTATATCTAATGTAAACCTACCTTCTGTCAGTTTAAAACAGTTTCTGCTTGTTCTGTCACTGTACTACCTGATAACAAATTCCTATCCAGCTTTCTTGTAGGCCTGGTTAGGTACTGGAAGACTTCTTTCAATAATGTCTGCCTGGAACCTTCCCTTCTCCAAACTAAACAAGTGCAACTCAACCTGTCTTTGTAGGTGAGGTGCTCCAGCCCTCTGAACATTTTCATGGCCCTCATCTGGGCCTGCTCCAACAGCTCCCTGTCCCTCAGATGCTGGGGCCCTGGGCCTGGGTGCACTACTCCAGATGGGGCTTCATGAGAGTAGCATAGAGGGGAAGAATCACCTCCCTCACCCTGATAGCTGCACTTTTTTTTTATGCAGCTTAGTGTAATGTTGGCTTTCTGGGCTTCAAGTGCAGTACAACAGGACCCTAAATGGTATTTTCAATTCAGAACTAGAAGCACAGCCAAAAGATTACAAGATTCCTCAAAGATCCCTTTAGAAGTGCCGCACTGCCCACTGTATTCATTAAAAATACAAAAGTTCAGCAGATAAGACACAGATCAATTTTTATTTTATGAATTATGGCAGCAAACACAACTATACTAAATTTACTGACTTGTTTCAAGAAAACAAAGGCAAAGTACAAGTACAAAGTACAAAGTCTCTGAAGGAAAGATCTCGATGAACCAGAGTTCATGCGAAGCGCTTTTCCACTGTGGATGAGTTATGGATTTACAAGAACTTGGATGATAACCAAAAGCACAGCTTGTATGTTCAATATGGGCATAAGTATTCATGGTTTTACAAAGCCATGTTTCAGGAGCACAGTAGTATCTACAGTGAATTCCTCAAAATTTAGTTGTGACCATAATGCGTAGACTATGAGGCTGCTTGTAATTAGAGTGCCAGTGGCAAAGCCCAAATAAAGAGAAAAAGAGCAGTGAATTTGCAGTAAATCAGCACATTTTCATAAGATACGAAAACACCTGGTTGGTCCCAAGATATAAAGTTATAGTTTATGATGAAGCTCATCAAATCAAATCTTTAGAAGTGGAAAAAAAAAAAAGAAAAAAAAAAGTGGGTTGCCTGTTGGAATTTAAAGACAGAAGCAGATGAAAAAAAAAAACACCAACCAACCAACCAACTGCTTTCCTTCAAAAATAACATTTGCTGGAATATTCTCATAAAGAAAAAGGATCTAGAATCACATAATCATATGTATCATTAGACCTTTTTTTCTGAAAACATAGAGCCAATATAAATTTAAGAATTGTTGTTGTAAAGAAATTCCTACAGATGTAGAAATAAAGGGGTGTGGAAGAACAGAAAACAAAGTTATGGATTTACAAAGAAGAATAGATGATTTCAGATAAGAAGTAACACAAATATGTAGCATTACTATTTCAGCAGTTTCTGAAAGTTTCAGTCATTTTAGGATCGTATTGGGCTGGTCTCTATAAAAATGCAGTATACCGAAAAGGCTTCCTCTCTAACCTATAAAAGATAAACATAAATCAGGGAAATATAGCAGTGGCAGACAAGATATCCTATGACTGGATAGTCTAAGCACTGCATGTCTTGAGAGATTTCATATATTCAAGTATAAATAGAAAGTTTTTAAAAAATAGATAATGCCCTCAAATGAAACAATGTCAAAAACAACAAAAGCATTATCCTGGGTGGTGGAGGATGAGTCTGTCACAGCAAAACTAGAGGGGATTAACATCAGGACTTTTTGGTAGGGGACTGAAAAATAAATGGAAAAGAAATGGAGAGACAGGTAGCTAATTTAGTTTTCTTTCAAGAAGAAAAGAAATTCCAGGAGGAAACCTGGATATGAACACTCTATTAGAGGAAGGGCAGCAAATATTTTGAGGACACTAGGAAGGAAAACCAAGTAATACTTGTATGAGGAAAAAAAGATAAGCACAAAAAATAAGTCGTTCATGACAAACTGCTGATGAAAAATAACCCGAAATTACAATGCTTCAATCAAAACTTGAGGAACACAAATTTCATTTACTATACAACCAGTAAAAATAAAATTGCAGAAGTAGAAAAAAAAACAACAATCATTGAAAGGAAATTAGAGGCCTGCAACATGGCAATGTCTTACACAATATATAAAATTAATGGAACATCTTATAGCTGCTAGTGAATTTAGAAAGCAGCGAGGAGGGGACATAATGTATATTTCACTGCCACCAAGTATTAATGAGATGTTGTCAAAGTTGCTATAGTTAGTGCAAGGCCATAAAATTTTAGAGTGTGATCTGAATTACTGTAATTCTGCACACACTGAATATTCAGTGCCTACTAAAAATCTTTCAGACTTCAGTAAAATAGGGAGGCTAGTCTACAATTGATTCATAAATGCTCAGTGATATGCTTCATACTGAGATCAGCAAAACACATACTAGTAATGCACAGCAAGTGATTTTTACTTGCTGAAATTGACCAAAGGAAAATCAACTTCCTCAAGAACGTGGCTGTGCAGTATATTTAAGAGCAGGACTTCCACACCTAATTGCAAATTTAAAACCTGCCTAAGACTTTCTTGTGTTATCCCCCACTCTAATAAAATTCTGCTTCATAAGAGTTGAAAGCTGTTTCCAGAGTTTGCCAGCATATCAGGTCTACACAGCCAGAATTATACCCTTAACTGAGTGGTGGTGAAAAATAACCATGCCTCTAGCTTCTATCTGTCTTTAAAACAATGATCCAAACCCAAAAATAAGTGGGGAGTTTGGTCACTGAACATTTCAGTTGTCCTAAATCTAGCCCAATTTGTCCACATATTAGCTGAGAGAGAATATTCTTCAACAGCCCAGTGCTCAGTTCTCCTACGTCTCATGTTTAAGTATAGACACTGGTAAATCCACTGACAAATAAGAGGCAGGAACATCAGGAAATCAAGGGAAGCAATTGAGAGAAATGGTGTGACTACAGCCGTTCATCCTTTGCAGCTCTGAGCCTGTGCACACTGCATTAGCTTTCTTTTGCATTCCATCTAAATCATGACAATAAAACAACTGATTTTTCTTCCCTTTCCTAATCCTCCAATGCTATTCACATTACACACAAGATCAGAACTTGGAGCTGGGGGGAAATTAACTGCAACAGTTGACCAGAAGTGAGAATTTTCATCATTAGGTATCATGAGAAAGGTTTGCTGGGCTAAATTTGAATTGAATTCTAATCTTCCAAAATTTTTAGCCAAAGTTGTAGCTAAAATCCACTTTCTGATAAGTAGAACTCCTTCCTTTCCTTGTGCAAAACACAAACCCAACACATTTTTTTCCATTTTTTTTTTCTGTATATTTGACACAGTAAGTTACCTTTAGATTTGAAATGCCTGAGATCAGATATTTTGATATCTCCAAGAAAGTCTATTTAGCTGGCTCATAGCTACAAGAAAATTGTTTTTCTTAAGAAACTTGCTGGAAACCAATTGCATAAGGCTTATAACTTGCTCTCTGTTCTGTATGTGCCTTACACTGGTATCAGTTAAGAAAACTTCCCAAAGGACCAAATTTGCAGTCAGATCAAGGCAACTATCCCTTTAATTTATTTCCATCTACAGGCCCATAGGCAAAAACTATGATTCCATCAGAATTTTAGGTTGATAATGACTATGGGAAAGTTGATATTCAGAGATATGCTAATAATTTCTGGTGGAGAAACACATTCTACCTGACTGATGTAATACAAGATGTTATTAAAATGTGCTGTGCTTCAGCAGGGCTGAACATGGCCTTCATTGATCTTGTTGTATTGACCAGGAGTATAGCAGTGGGAGAAACGGGCTTACCCTAACTCATAAAGGTAGTGTTAAATAGATAGCCAAATGCTTCTGCAATTCTTTGAAGAAGAAATGCAGTTAAAAAAAAAAAAAAAAAAAAGCTTAAAAATCTGACAGCAAAAATTTCAGGTTAGTAATCTATATTTAACCACATTACAGATGTTGTTTTTTAATCTCCGTATGCTTAATTATGTCTAATTATTTCTTTTATCTTACCAGGATGCTAAGAAGGTTATTTATAAATATCTTCAAACCAAAATATTCTAGTGGTAGGTACCTTAGAAAGACATTTAAAAAGTTAAAATTTCCATATTCAATTTGGAAAATATAAATGGAGCTCTAGGAACATGCATTAAATGGTGAAACTAAAGGCATGTTAAATGGGAGCATTAGTTCTTGAATACAAGCTCTTCTAGGCACCAAGTGTCATGAAGGAAGTAAAGCATGGTGCAGCATAATTAAGCAAGAAATGTGCACAGCACAGCCAAGTCAAAGTTGCTTGGATAGAGCTAAGTCTGATATTTACCAGTTCATGAATAATGGCTACAAATGAGCAATGGCCTTTTAATATGTTTTAAATATGACTGTAATTTCATAAGAGACCCAAATAACAACATCTGAGTGCTAAAATCAGGTCTACCATGCATCAAAGGAAATATCACAGTGCTGAATTTTTTCAGCAGTTGTTGTCTGAGGTATGCTTTGCAAGTGAATATAGATAAGCCACAAGGGCCAAGAGATTTGGAGTTTCCATCTCAGAAATGAAAGAATCAGAATTCCCTGTTCCCCAAACATAATTAGTCTTCGTACTAAAACTGTCATTCACTCATGAGACAGAATGCTGAAGACAGACCAAAGCCAGAAATCGAGATATTGTGGGTGGGAGATCAGGAGCAGAATGTAATGATTGTTATTACAAGCACAAAAAGGACACCTATTTCTTTATAGCTTCTGTTGTTTTTCCAAAGCAATAATAGTGAGGCCCATGAGATCACTGTGAGCACCTACTCCTAGAGCAAGTTTCACTTGCACCAAGAACCACTATGAACTACTGTAAATCCTCTAAAATCAAAGCAAGAGAGGGACAGCTACACTGAGCAAGATAAAAGTAAAAAAGCCTACAGCTTTAACCACAGTCACTCCTACTATCACTACAAAACAAAACAAAGAAACAAACAAACAAAAAAACCCAAATACCAGAAATTGTGAGGCACTGAATGAAGGAAAAAGGAGAAACAACTAAAATAAGAGAAGAAATGTAATAAAGCCTTTCTACACACATTACTGAGAATTTGGCAAAATTACAGCCCTACTTTGCTGATGTGATTTGAGGAAACTTAGCATTGTTAAATACTAGCTAATAGATCCATTATATCATACTCTATCACAAAACGTCACTGTCTTGTAAAATGCATAAAAGGAGACTACAAAAATGAATGGAAACCCATCATTCTTTTTGCAATGGCTGACACTTTACAATGGGGTATGCTACAACAGCTGACTGAAAACACTGGTAGAACTCATTTTGACTTCAGGTAGAAGCAAAAAGCCACATTAAAAATATTACCAAGAAGCTTTAAAGACAAAAAAAGAGTACCAACAATCTGAACAGACCACATTTCAGTCTTTCCAGACACTAACACTATATAACACTGGGACTCCAATAGTGTATGTTTATTATATTTTTTTTTATGTTTACTAACGTACATATAGAATAAGTACAAAATGACATACATGTCAGGGAATTTTAACTTCAAGCAGTTTTTTAACTGCTTGATGGAATAAATTGCGGCAGAACTGAAAGTAGCTGAATGACTAAGCTTCAGTTTCCTTGCTCAAAACAAAAATCACTTCTCTTTTCTCCCTCGATATTCACTCACTGGCTTCTCCAAAACAGCAAGCTACTTGGAAGCTGTGAAGGTGATGAGGGCTCCTTCACAGGCTATGGTGACACTGATTAGGACAGAGCATGCCTTGAAGGCCAACAGAGATGCATGCCCTTCAGGAGTCTCAATTTCCTCCCTTTTTACAAAACACAGTTCAAATGAAAGGTAAGCACACAGTCAGTCCTACTCAAAGATAATATATCTCCTCACTCACTGGGTGGATTAAGTAGGCAGACTGGTAGCTCAGTGGTCAAAAGAAATTTTCCCATTCCCAAGCGAAACCCAACAGTATGGGGCCATGCTTCCTCCTTTGCAGTTGCCAAAACTTATTTACCGGTAAGCATCAGACATGAATTATCACAATGAGGAGCTCACAAAATAATAGATCAGAAGACTAAGGATTATATACACAAGCAAATTCTTTTTTTTTTTTTTAAAGTACAAAAGAAAAAATACAATATGCTGAAATAAAGAAAAAGATAAAAACCAAAAAGTTCAACAAGACATGGAAAGAAATAGAGTGGAATGAGAAGAGAACCGAGGAGAAAGATTGACAGCACAAAAGAAACACTTATATATTCATGACTATACTGAACGAATCAATCTTTTTAACTCTTGATACAGTGTTGATAGTACTAGATATATTGTCAAAATTTAATGTGAAAATTCTATGTTTTCCTGGCACACTGATTTATACATCTTTATGGTCTAATATGTCTTTAATCAACATTACTATAAAATTGGACAACTGAAGCACATTGGCTGGAGAGAAAAAATTCCTCTGTAGAAAGAATCACTTTAGCCAAAAAATTAATGTTGAAGTAAAACATAATATTACCCAACAGCTTTTATTCAAAATATGAAATTTAGTTGGCTTTGGGCAAGTTCTGTATTTAAAAATATTTATAATATATAATATTCATTCTGAATTTTGGAACAATTGAAAGGAGTTAGAGATACAAAGACAGATGGAAATCCAGAAGGTGAGGAAGAGAGGAGAGAAAGGGCAAATAACACAGTAAGCAAAAATAAAAAAGATTTGTAAAACTGATAACAGTGAAAAAAGGAAACTATGGCATGATGGTAGATTTCTAAGAGACAAAAGTAGAAATGACATAAAATATTCCAAAATTTTTGCTGTCATACACACTTCTTCACTGAAGCTGAAAATAAGAGAAAGACAGGAAGAGAGAGAAATAGAAGCTTGCATTCTAAGACATGTTTCTTAGACCTCATAAAGGCAAAGCTTCTCTAAAATACTTCTTGATATTAGATCCAGTACAGAAGTGGGCATGAGGCATGAACACACCAAGGAAAAGCAAAAAAAAAAAAAAAAAAAAAAAAAAAAAAAAAAATAAAGGAAAAGGAAAAAAAAAATAAATAAAAATTAAAAAAAAAAAAGAAAAAGAAGAAAAAGAAAAAGAAAAAGAAACATTCATAAATTGAGCAGAGAGAGAAATATACATCAAAGTAGATTAATCAGTTATTTTTCCCAGTTCTAGAAAAGTAGAATAGTAAAACATGGTCATGCTATCTGTTGATGAAATATGTTAAATACAAGAGCCATGCATTAACAGGTAAAATTGGGAGTCTTGCTCAAGAAGAAACCTCAAATCCCTAAATTTAATTTCTACAGTCTAATTCCAACATTTTTTAAAATGAAATTAAAGGCTTATTTTTAAGTGCATCATAAGCAGATAAATCTTTTTTACTAAAAACGCTTAAAATAGACCCCAAGACCATATATAAATGAATCACTTAAATATTCCGTTATCATTAAACTAAACAAAATACACATATTCTCTGCTAAGTGAAAAATTAAAACTCAACTGTTTCTAGAGTAAGAATAGGTTTGCTTAATTAACATTTGCAGCTGAAGCTGTATATGTCTATACATTGAATGGCTGTACCATACGAAAATAACACCAACGTAGTGATCAATACTGTCCTTCAAGACCAGTTTTGTTTAGAGTATTTTTGAAGAATTCCCACTGTAGCAGTCCCTACATTGGCAGAAATCCTGTCAAAATCACTGGCATTTTTGCTGGTATAGGGACAGACTGTAGGATGATCAATCTTCAGCCCCAGTTCAGCAAGATATTTCATGATATGCTTTGAGCAGGATTTTGATTAGCATGTATTTATTTGTTTTGCTGAATCAAGGCTCATATGATCAGATTTGCAAATAATTTTGGATTTCTTATTTCTTTTTTGTGATTAATTTGAAGATAAAGTTCTGTTAAATACATAGTTTTATTTCAAAAACATTACATAATTTTATCATTTTTATAAAGCTATCCAAAGAAAAAGCTGGCCTAAATATCTCACCCCCAAGGTCCAATGGCACTTATACCTTCAGAGGGAAAATGTTTAGGCCAGTGTCCTGTACAAGAAGTGCTGGTGGTTATTAGGCTTCCAATTGACAGAACTCTCTTCCTTTTGACAAAACACATTCAGAAACCTTCCAAAAACATTAAAACTGTGTTTGCATGTATACACTTGAATGATTCAATCTGCGTGTGAGATTAAGACATTCCCCTATGGCAGTCACTTACTAGAATTACTGCTGTCATCCTTGGTTCCATCGAGACTTCCATCGGGGTGCATTTGCAAGTAGTAGCCTTGCCTGCAATATAACCTGGTCACTATACCCTTGAGCTGGGGATCTGAAAGACAAACATATTTTGTCACTAGCCTCAAAACTTTTTCCAAGAGTTATCTCTACTTCCTCTCACTGTAGAAGGAAGTTTGATGCAGCACCATTGCCATCTTAAATTTGTACTAGAACAGGGTGGTTGCTGATGTAGATGGAGAAAAATCTTTCTACAGAATAATTATTACACCGGTTTCATGTCCTCTTATCTGCCTTGAATGTCCTTAATTAAAATTAACAGTGGTAAAACAAACACAAAAGAATAGTAATCCAGGCACCCATAGTCTTAAACTACATTAAGCTCTACAAAAAAAAAAAAAAAAAAAAAGAGACTTCAGCAACAAGTAGAGAACTTTGCAGAAATCAACAAGATATTTCAAAAAAATTTAAAAAAAACACACATTTCATAAATGTTAGTAACTTACTATACTTAACATAGATTTTAATATCACTTACATAAAAACGTTTGCCTTCTTTCACACTGTACCAAAGTCACATAATTGTCTGGTACAGTATTTTGTAATAGTCCCACCTGAAGAGTTCCCAAAATACCAGCCTGGAGTCAGATACAATTCATTTGTCCTCTCCAATCCCCCACGGAATAACATTTACAGTAATAGCAAGATGATTGCCATAACCCTTCTTCAGCAAAAAACAAAATGAAAATTACCTGAGTAAGCTAAAAGTAAATGGGAAATTCAGGTGGCTGAACATTTAAGGTACAGTATTTAAAACTCTGCATTTGTGAAAATCATTGTCAAGCATAGAGTAGGGGGCTACCAAGTGACAACTTTATGATTCATCTCAAGAACAGTGCCTTACAAAACCACATATCAAGATGCTGGAGAATTGATTCATTGCTGAGGAAAAGGGCATCATACCTTAAGAAATCAAACAGCACTACCTGTGCTTCATACTCGATACTATTAGTAATATATTTACACATAAAATATTAGGCCCAACTTTAGGCATGCATGTGTTGGGACGTGGCATTAAAAGCATCTATATCTCATCATGCACGGCTTTGCGATAATGAACTAAAATCATAAAGACTTTCAGACAGAAAAGTGATAAAGTGAACAGTGAATTTTTAAGTAAGGCAGAAACAATTTTCATGCAAACCTGTGGCCAGTTTATAACTGATTATAATTGTTCTCACTATCAGTCAAGCTGGATTACTTACATTATCCTAAGGAAAGGAGTAAACACTAATAAGAAAACCCTTCTTTAAGTGGAATGTTCTGAAGTTTTGTACAAACGTTCAGTTCGTGGAGTATTTATGAAAATTGAAAGTTTTCCTTAAATACACAAAGTCATATGAAAAAATAAACACATCTAAATTTGAAATATAAGATTGAACTGTAAATATCATAGAAACTGTTACTAGAAATGTTAGCACTAAAAGTTTCAGGACACGAAAATAAATAATATAAATATTTCATAATTAACATCTAAGCACATCAAAAGTTTTTGTCTGTTTTTGTTTTATTTTCTTTCATTAACTATAAGTTTTGATTTCTGGGGATTGTTACAAGCAAAAGTTTTTCTGTCTACGTACAAGAAAAAAATCATTTTTAAAAACAATATATAAATACAGTAAAATTTATGTTGCTTCAAAGTACTGCCTTAACTATATCAGGCAACTCAAAAATGTTTTCACCATTTGAAAATAAAAGACGTTACTTCTTCCAGTGCATGCTTTCAATATGTACTTCCAAACTGGAAGTTAAATCTACTTGCTTTATACGTATGTATATTACATCTTAAAACACTAAAGGAAATAATTTAAGCAAAATTCTTACAACTACAGGCTCAGAAAGTATTTGCAGGAAAAATATCAGCATTTTGAAAAGTCATTCCTTCATCCAAACAAACATGAAAAAAATCAGCTTCTAGCTTAAAGAAAGTATTGCATAGAAAGTTAATTAGGGTCAACCTACTTCTTGCTCCTACTGCTTCAAGGGAAAAGTACAAAATTTAGAAATGATGCTCAACATTGTTTTTTATAATCAATCTATTTATTTTTTAAATTTATTAATAAAATCTACTAACAAGAAATCACATAATCATTTTCTTCAGAAGCATTATTTAAAGTTAATGGTGTTTTACCAGGTGTCCCAAACTAGAATCATAGAATCCTTTGAGTTGGAAGGGACCTTCAAAGGCCATCTAGTCCAACTCCTCTGCAATGAACAGGGACACCACAGCTAAAGCAGATTGCCCATGGCCTGATCCAGCCTCACCTTGAAAGTCTCCAGGCATCAACTACATCTCTGGGCAAAAATTACATTTGAATGAAAGTAATCTGATGAGAAGCTATGCATTTCAGCATTTGAGGGTTTATGATGGGGCAGGGCATGAGTTCCTCATTGGTTCATTTGCTCAAGTTCAGCAAAATAAGAACTATTAAAAACATGAATATAAAGGACTCTAGACATGTTTTTTAACTTATTAGGTATACAGTTTTATTAGTTTTGCTTGTAAGAGAACTGAACAAAATTTTCACAAAACATGTCTCTTTCACTTAAATATTTCATCCAAAACTGAAATTGTTAATAATGTGATATTAATTAATATTTTGATTATGCCATGTAGATCTCTATAGAGCAAAACATAGCAGAAAAAGTCTTTTTTTTTTCCCCACAAAATGTAGCAATTGCAACTTTTAATCTTTCTTCTGTGGATTATTAGAATCTTATTTACCAACCCTCCTATGAAGATCTTCACTGCTTCAAGATTCTACTTGTCCTTACCACAATTAAAACTTTAATAAGTGTCAGGAAATGGAATCAGACACTTTTTTACTTGTTCTTGCTTGCCATATTTAGTTAAAATAGTATCTCAGATCTATAAATAAGAGACAAACTAAATGCTTTAGCTGAACAGTGCTCAAAATACTGGGAGAATTTAACAACAATACACGGCATTTTTTTAATCCTAGCAAAAAGGCAAAGCAAATTTAATGACGGTGTTGCATGCAATGACTTGTTAATCTCATAATAAGCAATAGTCAGAAAGACTATTCCATATAGCCTCAAGGTAAATATCTTAAAGAAGAAACAGACAAACCCTCTAGGCAAAGAATTCATCCCTTTTCCATGCAGAAAGATAAATGATTATTTCAGGTCCTTTTTGAAACATTTGGGCAGCAAATAGTACAGAGAAATCCTCTGGTCCCTGAATTATTACAGCATTTTATCTAACTGCTGCCACTGGATAATATCACAGAAACACTCTCTGCTTCAAACAGTTTGCAAATGAGTTTCCAAAATCCTTCCTGCTCACACCTTTTTTTTATTATTATTGTCTATTCGAAAACGTATGCTAAAAGCAGTGACCAAAACCCACCCAAAAGATTAATGCTGTCTTTACACAGGTGCACCTGATATTTGATGCTTGTAACTCCCATCACAGCTGTGCAGATAAACAGAAAACTATTACCCTTGCCTTTAACATCCCACACATGCCTTTTTCTTCCTCCATGAAAGACAAAGACAAGAGAATGCAGCCAAATAACCAAACAAAATGCTTTCTATTTACAAACAGGATGGTTTTAGCGTCTCCTCTTTCCTCACTCCTCAGAACTTGTATAGTTTTAAAATAAATTAGATAAAAAAATTAAAAATTTGTTGCAACTTGTACTTTTCTGTTCAGACATAGATGAATTTGCAATGCTAAAAGAATGGCAAGGGCACCCATCATACTTTATTATCATGAAAAACAAATCACTTAAAATCCACTGAAGTTCTGATTTTACAACATGCTCCTTCTGTCTTGTTTTTGGTGCAAAAGTTTAAGGATTAAAATTGAAGTTATAGTTTAAAATCAATAATATTTACCAGAGTTTTGTTGGTGGTGGTTTTTTTAGTTTGCTTGTTTGTTTTGGCCTGGCACTTATTAGCTACTCTTTCTTTTGAGCAAATGACCTAAATACATTTGACGTCACAAAGAAATGGCAAGGGTCAGGCGACTTAATCTCCTATCCGCTCATATGGAGAATAAACTGCATTAACCAGCCAATTACTGGTCTGACACAAGTTCCTCAATGAGTCACACAAATGGCATTATCAAGAAGTATACTTTGTTCGTATAGAATAGCATTAAACCCATGTTAACTGCTGGCAGCTCTAGGTCCTTCACGTTTTACTTGCACTTGATATATTTTATTTTTTGTATTTCTATCCTGCATTTTAAGTTTCAGACAGTTCAGTACTAAACTCACAGTGGTCTGGAATACACCAGCCACCTTTTTTAGCTCTGTGCTGCTCCAATAGTCACTATACCTTGACTCTTTATTGCTTATTGTTACCTTATTGCTCTCTGATGTTGCTGTCAGTAAAGGTTAAGAATCTTCTTCTAAAACTAATTTGAAATATCAAAAACATTTCTAACCTCTCTTAGGACAAAAAAAAAAAAAAAAAAAAATTAAAAAAAAAAGAAAGGAAAGTAACTCACAGGTTTCTTGTGAAATTGTGAAGCATAGCACCCACTCAAAGCATAGGTGTGTCTCACATTCCTCATATCCACCTACCAGCTAGTTCTTAAGGCTGCAGAGGCCACTTTTTTGTCCCCTTCTCACAAAAGAGTATCCTGATTATAGTGCAGCATAGAATTTTGGATTGTGAATTGTGCAGTCTTCATGGCTGAAGCCAGTTTGGCCAATACAGGTAACATTAGAGCCTATGCATTAAAACACAGCTAAAGGCAGCTTCTAGCACCTCATTTTCATGCAGAAACTCATTAATGTTTCATATTAATGTCTGAAGACCATACAAAACTTTGAAACGTGTCAGTACTACTCATTAATTTAGAAATATTTTCCAGTTTCTGAAGGAGGGAAAAAATCCCATGTGAAATGACACTTCCCCTGTTTTTCTTTTGAATCTCATTATCGTATTCCTATATCTACTGAAACACTTTCCCCAGTTTCCAAAAGTGGTCTTTTTCTCAAGCTCACAGTTGCTGTTTTACTTTTTTTGGCACTACTCTGAGAGATGTAGTCAATACAGTGAA